CCTTTTAGTGACTGTTATTTACTTCACTAATCCCCCTTAGTGTCTTTTACCCTCTTTTAGTGTCTCTATCACCCGCTTGGGTCCCTTACCTCCTGCTTTAGTTCAACCTCATGGACTCCAGTAGAAAATCTTCTATATCCTATACCCAGCGAGACAGGAAGCTGTTCGCTGTTACCAGCCTTGTGAACCATGAGCACCTGTCAGACTAGGAAAAGAAGGTTCTCTACCGTGGTCCCATGGCCATGATACACAGAGACAGAGTGACTGGCCCCCTGCCAACCATTCACCCAAACATGTTTACTATATAGTGCCTTTTCCACTATGCCATGAGTCTACCAAATTTTCACCATCCTCTATAAATATAAAATTACCCAAGGTTTTCAATTTAAGAGTTCTTATTTATTTGCAAGATAATTTTGTCCTTGAAAACAACCGTTGTTTGCTTCTAAAAGGTTATCAATCCTGGCTGTTAAATTTAGCCTCTTGCTTGAGAGACACAGCCAAAAATCCATAAATAGGATCTGAGGTGTATCAAAAAATCTTGCCCTTTGTGTCCTTCAGGTATGTTTGAACGATCAAACACAAATCATGTCATCCTGCTGACACTCACAATCTGGAGATTCCAAGACAAGCTGAAAAGGTGCAATACGGAGCCATGTTCTCAACATGCTATTCATTCATTATAATAAACGCAGTGGCTCATTTATTAAAAAGCAAGTAGGTTTTGGTTCATTGTGATATATTCTGGATAATAATCCAAAAGTCAACCTCCTGCACTAAAGGATAGCCGTTGGTATAAAGTGCCTCATATGTGCCCAATTAAGGGTTTAACCCCTTAAGGACCAAACTTCTGGAATAAAATGTCCTTAAGGGGTTAAAAACGTGTAGGGGTTAAAAATACCCATTTCTGTTTTATTCGAGATGTTGCCTTTTAGCGTAAAAGCGACAAATTAAATTGTTATAGTATGAGAGGGGCAAACTGAGACCGTAACTGCGAATGGAGTGGAAGATGCGTGCCTGTCGTTGCTCAATTAAATACAGATGCAGTAATATTGTGTACCGTACCATACAGAGTGCAACAGCCTATAAACTTGTGTGTAGTGGGGCTACGTGTACAGCTTCTCCTCTCCGTGTAATACCTTACACTGTGTCAAGGCATGCTGGTTCCAGGGTGTTATTCAATTAAGAGAAAAAAGTTGTTCACCAGTGGCGAACTATTGCAATCTGTTTACAGTTTCTATTCAGATCCCCCCTTAACTCCCCTACCATTCTTTCCAGTTCTATTTCGGATTTTCATTCCCTAGCCCTGTCATAGCCTACACTTTTCCCAGCCTCCATACCAGTTCCACCCATGCCTACACAGTCTTCTTCTCTTGCGTCAGAAAAGTCTACACTTCTCATGCCTTATCTGCCTTATTCTTTGTCCCGCTTTTGGTTTCTGTTTCTACCTGTTCCCTTTGCCCTATCTTATTACTATCTTCTCATTCCAGTATATCTTACTCTTTCATCAATAATGGCTACCACACTCATGGTCTCTCATGCCACTTCTCATGTTCTCCCCTCTAGTCTGTTTTTGGTATAAAGTTTTTATGCATTGATTTCAGCACTCGCAACAGGTTACCTAATGGTGATGCCACAAGGCTTTAAAGTATTCAAGTACCATTATTACTACAGCCCACTGTAGATGTAATGGTGCCAGGGGTGCCCTCCCAGAGTAAAAAAAAATCATACTATTTAAGAGCAGTTTGACAACATTCCAGGGTCCTGCTAACATTACAGCCAAAAAATGTTGCCTTGCATGGCCGGACTTAACTCCTTGAAAGAGTTTACAGCCGCAGGGAAGGCTGCAGTGGGTGCCTGGCAGGACCCAGGTAAGGTGACATACCATCAAACCATAAATTAAATAACTACATACTTTTGGAGGGAGCCAGGTCACTCCTGGCACCATAAGCACTACAGCTGGCTGAAGTGGTTATAATGCTAGGGGTGCTCCATTAAGTGCGCTACCATTACCTGTTTAATTGTGCATCCGGAATGCATGACTAGTGAGTCTATAGAAACCAAGGCCTTGATTTCTTTCAGTGGAAAATTATTGATAAATATCAACCATTTCTGACCAATATTTTTATTGATTTTCAACTGGATTTAATACCAGCTAAAATTCTAGGAGCCAAACTCAATAAAAGGGGTTTTCTGTTTAGGGAAACAAAATATATAAAAAGTATGTGGGGGTCAATAGGACCTAGGTTAGATGGAAATATATTTTGGCACTCCCCCACTGTATATATTTTTTGTGTCTCGCTTTGCACTGCCCCAACTGGCTTTTTGTAGGGAAATCACAATTATACTTTCATAAGCATAGACGTTTATATTCCTACATTCATATACACACATTGATATACATACACAGAGATAGTGATGTCCCGAACGGTTCGCCGAACGGTTCGCCACGAACGGTTCGCCACGGACTCATCATTGAGTAAACTTTGACCCTGTACCTCACAGTCAGCAGACACATTCCAGCCAATCAGCAGTAGACCCTCCCTCCCAGACCCTCCCACCTCCTGGACAGCTCATTTTAAGAATGAGCTTCACAATGAATGTAAAATGGGATGCTGGGAGGGAGGGTCTGCTGCTGATTGGCTGGAATGTGTCTGCTGACTGTGAGGTACAGGGTCAAAGTTTACTCAATGATGAGTCCGCGGCGAACCGTTCGGCGAACCGTTCAGGACATCACTACACACAGACTCATATGCAAACACAAACATGGACATCCTGACCTCTGTAGTGTTGCCTAGGATTGGGTGACGCCACATCCTGGCTGCAGGATCAGTACAGGGCATAAGGTAGTTAAGAAATCCATGCAGAGAGATCCCAGCGACCCCGTAGGTGCCCACTTGCAGGTACTGAGAGGACGAAGCAGAGAAGGCACCTTCCATGCGCCCCCACCACCAGCAATACGTCGGTAAGAAGTGCCTACATTGTGGGAGGAGGATGCGTTGTGCCTTGTCACCTGGGGCAAACTGCTACCCTGTTAATATGCCTCTGCAATAGAGGATTTATACCTAACTCATGCCCCCACTCACCATGCCACAAATGTGGACAAGTCCACTAAACAGTGACCAGTCATTGCTTGCTTGCTGTAGTAAAAGAAAAACAAACTGGCAGCTGTTGCTGCCCACTCATAAGTAATGTACAGGTTTCTGGTGCCCACACCCCTGTGCGTAGTGTGGGGGCTTCAAATTAACAAAAAATGGGGGTTGACAGGTCAGGCCACTTGTGCTCTCACCTGTGGCCTGTCGGTGAGGGCTATTACTTTAAAAAGCACGGTTGGCTGGAATGTGTCTACTTTGTCTTATATATTTTTCTTCTACTTGACAAAGCTTGATAAAAGGTGGGACTACCACCATCACGTTTTATTAATTTCCCCAGCCATCACTAGTGACAGCTATGGGGTTATCTTGGATTCCCCACAGACGTCCGTGTTTTATTCTTGAGCATTAGCGAGAGTGCAGCACCGAAGTGGGCTTATAGCTGAAGATTCACCAGAAGCTGAAGAAAGAAGATGATGGTGCCTGTGTGGGTCAGAATTAAGTTCATATCACCTCTACTGCTCGCAGCAGCCACAGCGCATCAAGCAGTAATTCCACCATTGGGGGTCTGTGCAAAATAAGCGAAGACGCCAGAAGCTGAGAGACACTTTACTTTTGCAGCAAGTCTTCAATTTTAGAGGAATTGGGGGTTAGTAGTTTTGTGTTGCAGTACTCGGAGCATAGGGCATAGAATGAAGCAAACAACTGCACCTTAAGTAGGTTCTGTTTGTATAGCTGGCAGCCAGCAACAACAAATTATTGGCTTCTTGGCATGGCCGCATTGGCTGCCTTCCCAGGAAAGTATTTTTCCACAGCTCGGTCAAGCAAGAAACTGAAAACAGGCAGAAGGAGCTAAACAAGTTTGTTTTTGCTTGTTTTTTTAAAAACAGAGAAATCATAAATTGGCTTGTCTTCACTACTAACAGTGATTTGCAATAGAATTACAATAGGACTAATACAGTTCTATTTAGAAGCCATGGGCAGGGGAGAGGGCACTGTTAATGTTAAGGGGCACTTTTGTAATTCCAGTAGTAGTTATGGTGCATGCGTCTTTGGGTCTAATCACCCAATCTTTTGTGAAAAAGGTTTTTGAGACTCTGGCCCTCCCAGCTGCTGCTAAAATAATAAGGAATTTTACTTCATTATTTAACCAAATGTGCATGGCAGAGATACAATTGAATATCCACATATTATAACTATTATAGAATTTAGCATTAGCAATGCAGCTGAGGAGAAGGATAGCCTCTGGATGCAAAGGAAAGCCCTGGTTTTCATCAAATGGTTTCTCAATAAAAAAGTAGGACGGCACGCACAGAATCTTTGCACCATATCCAGTAGACTGTAATCCTTTTTTTTTTTTTAAATCATTTTTAAGTGCTAACATATTCTGCAGATAGCATAATAGGATGCTTTAGTGAATGAATTACAATTTGATTTGTAGTATCTGTATTACATGCAAAATATAATATATAATCATGATTAGTGTGCGATTGTCGGGTATCAGCCACTTTAACTGGCACGCTTGTCAAAAATGGAGTCATCTCAGTTTATTAGCATTGAGCATTTGCTTGGAATTTTTTTTTTTTTTTTTACCATTGATTTTCTATATTTAATAGTATCAGGCGCATCACCATTTTATTTGAAAGTATATTACTTACATTTTTATATAGTCTCAGAGACAATCCACATCCCCTTCCCATATGAGTATAAGAGAAAATATGTTTTAACAGGGATGGTAAAAAGATAGGACACCAACTGCTGAAGAACTACAGAGGCCCTGGCTGATGAAAAGTGACAGTGTTTGTCATATATATATATATACCTTCTGAAGACACTAGAATTATTTAAAGCAAAACTCCAAGCATCATAACCACTTACAATAGTGGTTATGGTGCTAGGAGTCAATCCATTTTGACTCCTATACTAGAGGGGCAGTCTAATGGCCTTTGGGGGTAAACCATTCCTAAGTGGTTTAACCCATTATTGTATGACCTGCCTAAAACCTCTAAGCACCATAACAATTTAGTTAAGATGTTTTTATGGTGACTGTGTGTTCTTTTAAAGCTGTCCAAGGATCATAAGCTGTGCAGTTGTAGAACAACTGAGGCTATCATTTTTCACCAATCCTGTTTTGAAGCATCATATCACCTTGGAGTTTGTACAAATCCAGGAAATATAGCCTCTGGTGTTATTGGATACACCCAGACCTGTCAGACTAGCTTCATTTTATTTATACGACACTTGGTTTATTAAGTGTTACCCATGTGGGTTTATACACTAAAGTATAACTTCTCAGAAATTCACCAAAGAATTACAAATTTTAGGCCAAAATTGAAAAATTCTCCTTTTTGTGTAACAGGTTTGTTCACTAAAATGAGACTACAAACTGAATGAAATTTAAGGTCTAAATGGCTAAACTGGGAAAATTCTAAGACAGCTATTCTTTCTACCCTGGCCTTACAGATTCTAGTAGAGCCATATTGGCCTTAAAGTTGCAGTTCCCCAAATAACCTTGTTTTCATTTTTAGTGATAGAATACATCTTCCTGCCTTTTGAGTGGCACTGCCACAATTTATCATCCTATCACTCTTGTGCTGGATTTCAGTATCCAGGTGCTGCCATTTTGTTCTCTTCTGTCCATGAGGTGTGGTTTTGATGGCTTCTATCAACTGAAGGATGTGGGTAAATTAGCTTAAAAATCACATTTTTAATTTGCTTAAGCTCTGCTCATTGCCAAGGGTTATTTTCCCAGTAAGAAAATGCAGACTTTTTAATGCATGAAGAAAAAAAAAAAAAAGAGGGAATTTAAAATAACACAATGGTAAATCACTTTAAACAATATAGTGTCAGGAATGCAAACGTTGAGATGCTAAATGTCAGACTGACCCAGGAAGCACCCCTAGTGGCAGTTTGAGTGACTGCCACTTGAGGTGTCCCTAGGTAGCAAAGTAAATACTGTGCATGAAAATGCCTGTAGGGACTGCTTATACTCATCAGAACAACTACATTAAAAGGACCACTATAGTGTCAGGAAAACTTTTTCCTGGCACTATAGTGCCCTGAGGGTGCCCCCACCCTCAGGGTCCCCCTCCCGCCAGGCTCTAGGGGGTGGAAGGGGTTAAATTTACCTCTTTCTCCAGCGCCAGGCGGGGGACTCTCCTCCTCGGCTGAATGCGCATGCGTGGCAGGAGCCGCGCGCGCACACTCAGCCAGTCTATAGGAAAGCATTCACAATGCTTTCCTATGGACACTGGCGTCTTCTCACAGTGAGAAGCGCATCTAGCGGCTGTCAATGAGACAGCCACTAGAGGCTGGATTAACCCTATTATAAACATAGCATTTTCTCTGAAACTGCTATGTTTATAGAAAAAAAAAAAAAGGGGTTAACCCTAGCTGGACCTGACACCCAGACCACCTCATTAAGCTAAAGTGGTCTGGGTGCCTATAGTGGTGCCTATAGTGGTCCTTTAACCCCTTAAGGACACATGACATGTGTGACATGTCATGATTCCCTTTTATTCCAGAAGTTTGGTCCTTAAGGGGTTAAGCTGTAGTTCTGGTGACTATAGTGTCCCATTAAATACTTGCAAAGAACTTTAATATTTGTTTTGAGAAAACAAATAAAAAACAAAACAAAAAAACTTGTCTCCAGCAACCCAACGTGCGCTCTTACGTGGAGAGAATTGTTAAAGGAACATTATAGCGTTAAAAAAAAAACAACAACATGACCTAAACTGTGAATCCTACCAGTTTAGATTCAGACTCCCATTGTTTCAGGACTACATTTCCCATGATGCTCAGCTAGCTTTTAGAGTCTAAAGGCCAGCTGCACATCATGGTATATATGTAGTCCAAAAATAATTTATGGTGTCAAGGTTAGCCATCACTGGCCTAGACCCATCTCACAATATCATCTGGCAGACACTGATTCTTCGTCTGCTCCTAGAGGAGCATTGGAGATGAGAAGTGCATGCACCTCCAATCTAATGCTCGTTATGAGAAGCATTCAGAGGGATGACGTGCAGTGGAAGTGCCTCTGTTAGCAGTCTTCCTGAGGTGAAAAAACTGCCATATCTACTAAAAGGCAATGTTTTACATTGAAGGGTTAAAATGACTGGGGTAAGGCACCCAGACCACTTACTGAGATAAAGCGACACTATAGGCATCAGACCACTTCAACTTCACCCCATTCTCTTGCAGTTATTGGAATGGCACCTAGTATGAAACACTGGTATGTAAGAGCTTGATGGCGGCTCTGTCGAGTGGGCACAGTATGTATTGTGGATGCCAACTGATGAAGCTAAGTAACCATGTGGCATCTGGCCAGTAATTGTCAAGCCCTGTTTTAGTAACTGAGTACTCTCTGGCATGAAATGTTGACTTATTAAGGAACACTAAGCCAATGGACCAACCTTTATTGCTGCAATTAAATAGAGGCTGAGCTTGTATTCATAATAAAATAAAATTTATTAAAAAAGCAAAATATATAGGCATTTAGAATATAAAAATGTGGGTATAACCCAGGAGTAGTTGGCACTGCTGCACAGCAGCAAGTTTAATTAGTCCACACTGACGCAGCTCCTTGGCGTCGCCATACACAGGTCATCATTCGCTTCACCTACAATACAACGCACACTCTACAGTCTATCAGTACCCAAGGGGCAAGTGTCTAGGATGCGTGCCCCCGGTTAGTCAAGTTTCTTGCCCCAACCACTTGGGGTTTGCTTTTTTCGAAGACAACCTCTTCCTTTTTTTGCAGAGGGACTGGTACGGACAGAGGGGCTGGGGTTTTTTCCTCGTCATTGTCTTTTCCAGCAAATGGGCTGCATACAGTCTCAACCAGTCCAATGACTACCCCGAAAAATGCCAGCACACTGCCCAGCATATAGATTTTCACCATTTTTCTGCTGGGTTTCTGGCTGAGCATCTCTTTAGCGAAAGGAATCAGCTCCTGCATGGTTTCCATGATAAACGGCTTTACAACGTCAGATATCCAAACTGTAAACAAACAAAACAAAGCAGGCAGTCATTAGTATGCTGTTCAATGAATAGGTGGAAGAGCTAAATCTACTAAATATGAAATGCATTCACTGTAAACCTAAACAAACAAATAGGGGAACCCTTAAAATAATTAACTATTCCAATCATAGAGAGACCATTAATCTTACACTGTAACTGGGTATTTTAAATTCTGGATCTCCAGTTAGCTAGTTAAAAAAAAAAAAAAACCACACGAACTTTTTCCAGCCAAAAAAAAAAAAAAACATAAAACAGCTGGCAGTCTGAAACCAGTCCTAAACCCACTTATTTGGTGCTTAATTCAACAGAAACCGACACAATATCTAAAATAAACTACGATACACAGCATCTACCAAAGTAATAGCCTAACAGCACCTAGCAGTAACTTCTAAACTAGTTACCAGCTAGAGCAAACCAAAATGTAATATGCACTTAATACAATATGGACCCCTTAAAGACCACATGTCAGGGATATCTCAACTTGTCAGACCTTCCATTCGAGGTTAATAAACGGATTTGGTTTAATAATTCATACCATTTCATTAAATAAAAAAACAACTATTTGAATGAAAACTAACATATCAGTGTTAATAGCTACATGTCTATAACACACGTATAACAGACTGACAAGTCTACATTATGATCTTGTAATAGAATTAAAGCACATATAAAATCCAGCCATCAAAGCATGTAACAAAGGAAAGGCATCGCTAAACAAGACTATATATCTTTCAAATCTCACTTACCCAGTAAGGAGGGCTCAGTTGCTGTATTGCTGTATTGCTGTATTGCTGTATTGCTGTATTGCTGTATTGCTGTATTGCTGTATTGCTGTCTACGTGCAGGTCTCAATGTCTGCAGAATGAATTGTGTGCATCTTGACACACTAGTTCCATTTAAAGGGACCAACCCCGCCCCCTCCGCAACGTCACTAGGGGGCGGGGAAAGGTGGAACCATGTGCTGATCACGCACTGCTCTTGGCATCCTGAGCAGCAGACACCTAGCCAGCCCTGTGTGCTGTGGGCTAGCTGCTAATGGTATAGGGCTTAGCACGCTCAGTGCATGCATGCAGCATGCATGCTCAGCTTTCCCCGTGTGGGGGAAGGTATAGGTTTTCTTATTGTAACCATTCCTTGGAGTAGTGTGGTCACGTAGTAAACGTGCAGGGTGAATTAGGACAGCGGATTTGTAACCCCCCCACCCCCTCAGGCACCTTCATTTGTTTTTGTTTTGTAATTAGCCACTCATACTAAGGCATTTTGGGGTTTTGTGTGAGTTAGACAAGATCTTAAACCTGTTAGCCATTCTCTTTTTGATTAGATTTTTTTTATCCCATTGGTATTGGTATTTTTTTTTATTATGTGGTAAAAAAAACCACCAAAAAATAACAAGTAATAGGTAGGTTTAAACATGATACAGCTATCCCTTATCATACATCATGAAGATGTCAGCTTTTATTATTACCATAAACATGTCTTTACATATTTCTGTGTGTGTGATTTTTAATTTTTGAAGGTCCTTGGATAAGCACAGATGGGACACTATGTTCATAACTATTTATAACAATGTAGGAATGCAGAGATCCTATTGTATAAGTGACAGTTAATAACTTTTATTTAACCCATAGAGTTCCAGAACATGATGGCTTCCCACACATTCCATTTGGCTGCAATATATATATATGTATTATAATTCATACATGGATGTCTGATGGAGAGCTCTGCATTGTGACTATATGAGATGTTGTTTACATATACAGTGCATCAGGCAGCACACCAGCACAACAAACAGCCAAAATCAGACATTTTACCCCTAATCATTTGTACAGCTGTGGAATATGTTGGTGCTTTATAAATAATATAATAATGAAAGGGTGACTTATCAATATGTTACCCGCAAATGTAGAAACTTTTATAAGTATTACAATACATTATTGCGGTTACTTTAATACTCGGAATATTGACGTATACAGTAATAAATAGAAATAATACATCATTTATATATATATATATATATATATATATATATATATATATATATATATATATATATATATATATAGTCTGAAAGGTCTCACTGGAAAGGATAGTGTTAAACATTTCAGTCCTTTTATGCTGGTTCTATTGTGCTATGCTTGAGAAAAGCTCATCTTACCATCAATGACTCAACTCTATGCAAGCATGTTGGTTGTTTTTTTTTTTTTCAGAGTGCTGTAACCTTTTACCTACTAAGATACTAAGATCTGTTTGGCTAGTCCTCTAGATTGATTGCAAGTAATCAATAATTTATCAAAAAGCACAGTTCCTTAGCTATCAGAAATATAAAAATAGACAAATTGAATAAATATGGCATTTGGCATTTGCTTTACTGATATGGTGTGTTATTTAATAATTTGCTGAATTTTGTATTCTCAGTATCTTTTGCATATTTGGAATGTTCTACTGACTTCATCTATTGGGGGTAGTGGAGATAAGGAATTGATTACAATAATAGTCCCAGATTTGTTACACTATTGTTTTATACTGTAAATAGGATAAGAGAGCATTGTTTAGTGTAGTAACTCTACATACACAAATCAGTAGACAGCGGGGGTCATGTATAAAAATTGGAGCATTTACTTTCATGTTTGCTCACTTTTGTACACTTTTAAATTTTTTTTTCATATATAAAATTGTTACTCCGTCCTATATACATTAGTGATGTTTTTCTGGCTTTTCTTGTTCTACAAAATAATCTGTTTTCTTTTTTTGTTTGTTTGTTATATACATAACCTTTATTTCTTACAAACTGCTACAGCTGTGCATTTTGGGTAGGTACACACATAAGGCTCACAATCACAGCTGGCCCTAATACTATGATATATATTGAGGACTCAAGGACTTCAACACTATGTGGCCCAGTGCAAGATTTATGAGATGATACACAGTATGAAAAATGGCACTCAATGGACGTGTTGCAAAAAAACAAACAAACCTGCTACTGTATTTATTGGGTCGACGTTTCATTTTATACAATAAACTTTCTTCAGGACAATTGTAGCAAACCAAAAAGCACTTTCATATAGAAAGATAGATATATTACCATATTTACTCACAGCTGGGTGAGTAAATTTGGTGATTAAAATTTTCAAGAAAGGCTAAAATGGCTTCTCTTTTTGTCACGTTTTGCCTGTTTGATGATTTATTATATCCATCTATAGAGTAAATTTTTGACACAGTTCGACTATTTTGGCCTAAAATTAGAATTTTACTTTGAATTCGCAGGAATTCGCACTTAGTAAATAACCCTGATAGTGTATATTAAAAAAGACACATATAGGCAATCATATAAAAATGGGTTACTTGTAAAAAAAATAATTCTGAGGCAAATCTGTAAAAGTTGTGCAATCACCATAGAGCATTCCTGTCATTTGCTACACGTTTAACTTAATCCCTCCCCTTTCATATATTTATTCATTAATATTTAAAATATGTTATTGTCTTACAATTAGTCTTTATAAAATCCCTTGTATTATATTTCTAGTAACTTTCCACATCCAGTAAAGATTTTTTTTGTTTTTGTTCTATGCCTTGTGGACGTGATGAACCCGTTGCTCCCTGTACATGGCCTGTGGTAATTTGAGACTGTAGTATCACATGCGATACTATAGGCTAGAAAGTATGCCATTTTTTTTTCTTTGATACAAGATAAGGTTTTGCATTGATATTGCATTCCAGCCCCGACGTTTGCAAGTTAAGGCTCATTATCATTGTTTCCTGATTAACCCCTTTAAAAATGTAATTATCATAAGATGTGATAAATGCTTCATTTTGGTCAGGGTTTCTTCTAAGGTATGACATGTTTGTGGCATTTTAGAAATTCCTAGTATTTCATTGTTGGCATTTACATAGCACCAACTTATTCCGCAGCACTTTACAATACATAAGACAATTACGAAGTGTTACAGGAACATTATAAATTGAGGACCCTGCTCAAATGAGTTTACAAATGACTTATCTATTAAAAGCCAACTCTAGAAACTAGTTTGTTTCTACTATACATTTTGGTAGGCAAATTAATGGCAATTGGATTAGTAGATATCTATAGATTATTGAATCCATTCATCTACAGTTTAAGCTTTTCCTGCTCAGGGAGACACACAGTAGTCCTGCGATGGTGGTACCATCATGAGAGCTCAGTGTCATTTATGACATTTCCGTGGAGTAGTTAGTTATAGGGAGTACAAAATGTTATAAATGCAGACTAAGCAGGCCAATACATGATATGCTAATGATGCAGCAGTAGGTGGTCCTTCCTAGGAAAGGCTGAGGCAGCTTCACTGGATAGCCTCACTCACAATAGACCATGCACTGAGGTTACCTTAAGTGTGTGTTGTTGCCTTGGCTGAATTATCTAAAAACCTTATGAAAGGGGTGTCTAAAAGATGGATCCACAGATGTTCAAACTACAACTCCAATGATGCTTTGCATGCCTTTAGAATGCCTTTAGAATAACAAAGCATATTAGAAGCTGTAGTTTTAAAACATCTAGGGATCTACTTTTTGGGTACCCCTGCCTTATGAGTTCACTATGTGTTTATTGAGGATGAATCGCTGGTGTCCCCAAATCAGCAATGTCCTACTAGATGAAGAAATGTTGGAACATTTGTCTTCAGTGTAGAAGTTTTCTACATTAGGAGTTGCATGAAACATGCTGTGGATGTTAACTCCCATAATTTGCAGAAAGAGCCAGGCTATGAGTGATGTGAGTGATTTTCATATCTCTGCTTTATAACATCTCTATGTTGACAGTAGCGTTTTAAAAGTGGTATTGGAGGTGCAGCATCATCCAGGTGTGGGTTTTTGGAAATTCAAAATTAATTTAAAAGTTTACGCCAAAATACCCGAAACTGTAAACATAGCTGACATGAACTATTTTTTTCATTTAAATAATTTTGACCTAAAATTTTAAATTCACTTTGAATTTATTACAATTCACACTTTAGTGAATAACGCTGTAAAAGATTCTTTAGCTCCATTTGGAAGTGAAGTTTGATCTATCGTGTAACATTGCATCAGCAGCTGCTCCAGCCTGTTGCATCAGAGAGCTATGAACCTACTAACCTCTGCCTCTGATTATAGCAGGAAATATCTTGGCTGTTTTAATACGTTGAACATTCTTCATACTTTATATCAGAGACATTGCAGATTGAACCAGCATTTGATAATTTGAATTTCATTAGCAGATCAGCATAAGTATAGACACACAGCAATATATACTGTATGTCCATTAGAGTATGGCACACTCAGAATATGCGTATGGTTTCTACTTACAGAAGAACCTTAAAGGGATACTATAGGCAACCAGACCTCTTCATTTCATTGAAGTGGTCTGGGTGCAGTGTCCCTGCCCCCCTTAGTGAGTAGCAGATCCGGTGGGGGGGCAACGGGAAAACAGAGAAGACTTAAGGTCTCCCTCTGCCCTGCCAGCACATGCAATGTACCTTCACGGACTGGAGGGGAGATAATGTATATTTATTTCAAAAAGACCCCCTACCCTTCTTATCACACACACTGCCCCCCATACACATACACTGCCCCTCCCACACACACTGCCCCGCATACACACATACTGCCCCCCATACACATACACTGCCCCCCATACACATACACTGCCCCCCTATACACATACACCCCTGCATACACACACTGCCCCATACATACACTGCCCCCATACATACACTGCCCCCAGACACATACACTGCCCCCAGATATACACTGCCCCACATACACTGCCCTGCATACACACATACACTGCCCCCCATACACATACACTGCCCCATACACATACACTGACCCCATACACATACACTGACCCATACACATACACTGCCCCCATACACACACTGCACCCCATACATACACACACATACTGCCCCCCATACACACACCTTGCCTCACATTCACACATACACTGCAATCCTCACACACACACTGCAACTGTCACACACATATACTGACCCACACACACACACTGCACCCCTAACATACACTGCCACACTCATTCACACACTGCAACCTTCACACACACACTGCAACCTTCACACACACACACACTGCTCACACACACTGTACCCCCCATACACACACACACTGCACCCCTCACACATTGCACCACTGCTCCTATATCCTACTACAGCCCAATTTCCCCGCAGACCTCAGGTAAGTTGTCAAACTTTTCTTAAACAGTTTGATTACTTACTCTGGGAGGGGGTCCCGGCACTATTGGCACCATAACCACTACACTGAGCTGTAGTGGTTATTATGTCTGGATAATTTCTTTAAATAATCTACAAGTGCCCCTCCCGAGATCAGGTTCTGGATCCGTCACTGCCCTTAGTCCTGCAATGTAAAACATTGCAGTTTTAGAAAAACTGCAATAATTGCAGGACTAAGACTGCCCCTAGTGGCTGTCAATCAGACAGCCACTAGAGGCACTTCCTGATGGCTAGGCAACTTTTGGTCACCTAACTGATGCTGGAAGTCCAGCTATGCTTTCCTATGGGAATGGCCTAATGTGCCTGCGCATTTGCATTAGCCCCTCCCCATCGGATTACCTCAGAGGAGGCGGATCACTGACCCAGTGCTGAGTTAGATCTGTGATGGGACCAGGTAAGTAAATAAATGTTGTTGTTTTTTAACCCTTTCCATGTCGGGGGGACACAAGGGAGTGGGGGACTAGAGGGAGATTTAGTGTAATGATATACAGATTTGTATTCCTAACACTATAGTATCCCTTTAATTTCTATGGAAATTGCAATCTGAAATAAAACATTGAAAAGCACTTTCGGAAACTTTTTTTAGTGCGATGCTCCATTTTATTTTCAGTTTGTATTAAATATTTAAAGGACCACTATAGGCACCCAGACCACTTCAGCTTAATGAGGTGGTCTGGGCGCCAGGTCCAGCTAGGGTTAACCCTTTTTTCTATAAACATAGCAGTTTCAGAGAAACTGCTATGTTTATGTTAGGGTTAATCCAGCCTCTAGTGGCTGTCTCATTGACAGCCGCTAGAGGGCTTCCGCGTTTACGCCAGCGTCCATATGAAAGCATTGTGCGCATTCAGCCGAAGAGGAGGAGAAGAGGGAGGAGAGCTCCCCGCCCGGTGCTGGAGAAAGAGGTAAATTTAACCCCTTCCACACCCTAGAGCCAGGCGGGAGGGGGACGAGTATGTTTTCCTGGCACTATAGTGGTCCTTTAACAAATGACATCACAATTTGGGAGTTTTAAAGTTTTTTCTAAATCCTGACACTTTGATGAATCTTCCCCAAAATGTCCTTCTGCATTTTTACAATGTGTTGTGCAAGAGCAACATCACATCAATTAATGTGTTAGTATACATGCTTACTTCTAACACTGTATGGAAACTTTCTTTCTGTCTTCCTACCCTGATCTCGTGATTGGTTTGACATTTCTTGATTTTTAGTATCCTGACCTTGGTTTGCTTTTTACTATTCTCTGCTTGATGCCATACAAATCATTGGCAAGTTTTTGATTATCTTGCCCTTTAATTCCCACACCCCAAACTGTTCCACTTCACATTACTCATCTTTTGTAGGTGTTAATGTTGTCTTTGTAATTATTTGTATTATTATTATTGGCTTTTATATAGCACCAACTTATTCCGCAGAGCTTTACAATATTATAAAGGGGAAATTTAACAATAAATGAGACAATGCAATATGTTACAGGAACAATAGGCTGATTAAGACCCTGCTAAAGATGGATGATACTGCTTCCTACTTTCCTTGTTTTCTTCCTTGATACCTGATGTTTTACTGTGTACTCCTCCATACTTGGCTCTCTTTTCATGGAAACCTACAGTGCAGTATCTAATCGTGTCATCCCTGCTTAGTACAATTGACCCCTTTGAAGGAATACTGAAATCACCAAAACAACTTTTGCTTAAAGCGGCACTGTCATGCCGAACTTACCTTTCCCTAATCGCTTCCTCTTCTGGGGGGGTTAAGTTTTTATTTAGGGCCCCCACCCGCCGCTCAGGGGTGTGGTCCAGGAGGAGGACAATAGTTCCCCCCCTAATTGGTATTTGGGGACCCCACCCACCGCTCAGGGGTGGGGTCAGGGAGGAGGACATTAGGTCCCCCCCCATTGGTATTTAGGGCCCCCACCCACCGCTCATGGGTGGGGGATGGAAGGGAGGACATTAGGTCCCCCACCTAACTGGTTTTTAGGGCCCCCACCCACCGCTCAGGGGTGGGGGCCGGGGGAGAGGGCATTAGGTCCCCCACTTATTCTAATTTAGGGCCCCCACCCGCCACTCAGGGGCGGGGGCCAAGTGGGAGGACAATAGGTCCCCCCCTTGTTCTGATTTAGGACCATTGGTCCCCCCCCCATTATTTAACTTTAGGGCCCCCACCCGCCGCTCAGTTAGGAAAAAGGACAAATGAGTCATTTATTACATGTGAGTTTTACAGAGGAAGAGGTTCTATTTCAACAGTCAAAAGTAAAGACAAATAAGTCAGTGGGACCTGATGGAATACACCCAAAGTTATTAAAATAGCTTAGTGGTGTACTAGCAAAACCATTAACAGATTTTTTTAACCAATCAGTGTTAACAGGAGTAGTCCCAGAAGATTGGAAGTTTGTGAATGTTGTGCCCATTCACAAGAAAGGTAGTAGGGAGGAGTCTGGCAACCATAAGCCAGTAAGCCTTACTTCAGGAAAACCATGTTAATAGGATTGTTGAACATCTAAAAACACATGGATTTCAAGATCAGAGACAACATGGGCTTACTTCAGGGAGATCATGTCAAACTGATTTTGATTGGGTAACTAAAATAATAGATCAGGGTGGTGCAGTAGACATTGCTTACTTAGATTTCAGTAAGGCTTTTGACACTGTTGCACATAGAAGGCTTATCAATAAATTGCAATCTTTAAGTTTGGATTACAACATTGTTGAATGGGTAAGGCAGTGGCTGAGTGACAGGCAACAGAGGGTTGCAGTCAATGGAGTATATTCGAAGCTTAGGCTTGTCACCAGTGGGGTACCTCAGGGATCTGTACTTGGACCCATGCTCTCTAATATTTTTATTAGTGATATTGCAGAAGGTCTTGATGGTAAGGTATGTCTTTTTGCTGATGATACTAAGATATGTAACAGAGTTGATGTTCCAGGAGGGATAAGCCAAATGGCAAATGATTTAGGTAAACTTGAAAAATGGTCAGAGTTGTGGCAACTGACATTTAATGTGGATAAGTGCAAGATAATGCATCTTAAACGTAAAAACCCAAGGGCAGATTACAGAATATTTGATAGAGTCCTAACCTCAACATCTGAGGAAAGGGATTTAGGGTTGATTATTTCTGATGACTTAAAGGTAGGCAGACAATGTAATAGAGCAGCAGGAAATGCTAGCAGAATGTTTGGTTGTATAGGGAGAGGTATTGGCAGTAGAAAGAGGGAAGTGCTCATGCCATTGTACAAAACACTGGTGAGACCTCACTTGGAGTATTGTACGCAGTACTGGAGACCGTATCGTCAGAAGGATATTGATACTTTAGAGAGAGTTCAGAGAATGGCTACTAAACTGGTTCATGGATTGCAGGATAAAACTTACCAGGAAAGGTTAAAGGATCTCAACATGTATAGCTTGGAAGAAAGACGAGATAGGGGGGATATGATAGAAACATTTAAATACATAAAGGGAATCAACACAGTAAAGGAGGAGACCATATTTAAAAGAAGAAAAACTTCCACAACAAGAGGACATAGTCTTAAATTAGAGGGGCAAAGTTTTAAAAATAATATCCGGAAGTATTACCTTACTGAGGGGGTAGTGGATGCATGGAATAGCCTTCCAGCCGAAGTGGTAGAGGTTAACACAGTAAAGGAGTTTAAGCATGCGTGGGATAGGCATATGGCTATCCTAACTATATGTCACGACCATAGGCGTGCGCAGCCTATTGCATTAGGGTGTGCACCCTAAAGCACAAACACACACCGCGCGTGTGTGTATATGTATCTATCTATCTATCTATATATATATATATGTATGTATATATATATAGATAGATACACACACACACACACACACTGCTGTGTGTGTGTGAGGGTGCTGTTAGTGTGATGTGAGGGTGTTTGTGTGTGTGTGTGTTTGTGACTGTGCTGTTTGTGTGTGAGGGTGTTTGTGTGTGTATGTTTGTCCTGTGAGGGTGCTGTTTGTGTGAGTGTCGTGTATTTGCGAGGGTGCTGTTTGTGTGTGAGGGTGTTGTGTTTTATTTTAAAGGTGCTGTGTGTGTTTGTGAGGGTGTGGTTAGTGTACTGTGTGTGTGTGAGCTGTATGTGTGTAGGTGCTGTATGTGTGTGTGCTGTATGTTTGGAGGGATTTGACAGATTAGTAAATCCTTGCTGCCATGTGCCATCCCTGGTGGTCCAGTGGAGAGTGAACTCTAGCCTGCGGGGCTAGAGTTAACTCTCGCGAGATCTGAGCGTTGCCGCAGCAACACTCAGATATTGCGAGAGGAACCTGGCGGAGCTTCTGTCTAGAGCTCCCTGGGTCCTCTCTTGCCTCCCTCCATGCTGCTGTGGGCCGGTGAGGTAGATCTTTGGTCTCCCCGCCGGCCCATGGAGGATTAGAGCAGAGCCAGCACTCAGATAGCGCCGGCTTTGTGTGTGTGTGTGTGTGTGTGTATATATATATATGCGTACACACACACACTCACAGACACATTCAGACACACACACATACACTCACAGACACACACACTCACACAGACACACACATTCACAGACACACACACACATACATACGTACACTCACAGACACACACACACACTCACAGACACACACACACTCACACAGACACACACATACACACATTCACAGACACACTCACACAGACACACACACACAGACACTCACTTACTGACACACTCACATACATACATACACTCACAGACACACTCACACAGACACACATATACACTCACAGACACACACATACATTCACACTCAGACACACACACTCACAGACACACACATACACTCACACTCAGACACACACACTCACAGACACACACACACACAGACACACACACACACATTCACAGACACACACTCACTCACTGAGCTGCAGAGAGGGGGGGAGGGGATCCATCACCTCTTGCCCCCCCCCCCCATGACAGGGGCAAGAGGTGAAACGGGCGCTGAGTGCCTGCAGGAACAGCGTTCCTGCTCAAAAGAAGTGCAGGAACGCTGTTCCTGCAGGACTCAAACCATAGGCGTGTGCACGGGGATTAGGGTGTGCCCAGGCACACCCGGCACACCCCGTGCGCACGCCTATGGTCATGACTGCTAGTGTGGTCCAACACACAGAAACTATGTAAACCTATACATAGAAATAAGAAAGGAAATAAAAGGACAGAACGTAAACCGGACCTTAGAATGGCCGGACTAATACGATAGAGACAGAGAATGGTCAAAGGGAAAGCCGAGGTCAAAGAAGCCAGAAATACACAATACTGTTTAAACAAGCCAAGTCAGGGGAACCAGAAATCGGAATAACCAGGAATAGCCAAGATCAGAATACCAGAATATCAATATCACAAGGAAAAACGCACTCTCAGGAAACCAGGAACAGGAAACCACGACAGGGCAAGGTACTGGGGTGAATTAGGGATTTAAATATCCCTCTCTAGGCTCTGATTGGTCAGAGGGTGACCTCTGACCCCAGAACGTACGCGTGCGTTGATGTCGTGTATAATTTTTGGGGGTGGAGCCATGGATCGGCGCCATCTTGGATTTCCACGAGCGGCGTGGAGGAGCGGTTCCCGGCTCGTCGCTGAGCAGGTAAGCTCAGTGAGTTGGTGCAGTTGGGCACGGACGCATATGGCGGCGAGCCGGGGGCCGTGACACTATAAGATAAGGCTGGGGACTAATGAAAGTATTTAGAAAATTGGGCAGACTAGATGGGCCGAATAGTTCTTATCTGCCGTCACATTCTATGTTTCTATGTTTGTATACTTTTTATTTAAAGTTGTATACAGTGTAACATTCTTCTTCTTCCACTGGGTAAGTATATTAGTACTTAGGCAATACTGTGCTTCAGAACTTCAACACTTCGACACTTCGGAAATTCGGGAACTGCGGGATTTTGGTAATTCAGCTATTCAGACATTCAGAAGAACCCAAATGTCCGAATTGCCCGCAATTCGTCCGAATTCACATACAGACCGAAACAAATTGCACATGTCTAGTAGATAGCTCCCTATTTCCAAAGGTATCAGGAAGCTACAGTGAGGGAAAAAGTATTTGATCCCTGCTGAGTTTGAACGTTTGCACACTGACAAAGAAATTATTAGTTTGTAATTTTAATTGTAGGTGTATTTTAACAGTGAGAGACAGAATAACAAAAAATAAAAAATCCAGAAAAACGCATGTCGAAAAAGTTATAAATTGATTTTCATGGCAATGAGTGAAATAAGTATTTGACCCCTTCGACTTAGTACTTGGTGGCAAAACCCTTGTTGGCAATCACTGAGGTCAGACGTTTCTTGTAGTTAACCACCAGGTTTGCACACATCGCAGGAAGGATTTTTTCCCACTCTTTGCAGATCCGCTCCAAGTCATTAAGGTTTCGAGGCTGACATTTGGCAACTCGAACCTTCAGCTTCCTCCGCAGATTTTCTAAGGGATTAAGGCCACCCCAGGACCTTACTGTGCTTCTTCTTGAGCCACTCCTTTGTTGCCTTGGCTGTGTTTTTTGGGTCATTGTCATGCTGGAATAACCATCCATGAGCCATTTTCAATGCCCTGCCTGAGGGAAGGAGGTTCTCACCCAAGATTGACGGTACACCCCAAAGCATAATGTTTTCATCTCCATGTTTGATGGTGGGGATGGTGTTCTTGGGGTCATAGGCAGTATTCCTCCTCCTCCAAACACAGCGAGTTGAGTTGATGCCAAAGAGCTCGATTTTGGTCTCATCTGACCACATTTCACCCAGTTTTCCTCTGAATCATTCAGATGTTCATTGTCAAATTTCAGATGGGCCTGTACATGTGCTTTCTTGAGCAGGAGGACCTTGTGGGGCGCTGCAGCATTTCAGTCCTTCACGACGTAGTGTGTTACCAATTGTTTTCTTGGTGACTATGGTCCCAGCTGCCTTGAGATCATTAACTAGATCTTACCGTGTAGTTCTGGGCTGATTCCTCACTGTTCTCATGATCATTGAAACTCCACAAAGTGAGATCTTGCATGGCGCACCAGACCAAGGGAGACTGACAGTTATTAATCGCACTAACGGTTGTCACCTTCTCATCAAGCTGCTTGGCAATGGTCTTGTAGCCCATTCCAGCCTTGTGTACGTTTACAATCTTGTCCTTTTAGTCTTGGCCATGGTGGAGAGTTTGGAATCTGATTGATTTCTTCTGTGGATAGGTGTCTTTTATACAGGTAACGAGCTGAGATTAGGAGCACTCCCTTTAAGTGAGTGCTTCTAATCTCAGCTTGTTACCTGTACAAAATCTTGCTCATTGATAGGGACTCAAATACTTATTTCACTCTTTGACATGCAAATCAGTTTATAACTTTTTTGACATGCATGTTTCTGGATTATTTTTTTTTGTAGTTGTTATTCTGTCTCTCACTGTTAAAATACACCTACCATTAAAATTACAGACTGATCATTTCTTTGTCAGTGGGCAAACTTTCAAAATCAGCACAGGATCAAATACTTTTTTCCCTCACTGTACCTACCAAAAGGCTGAAAGACCAAGATTGTTTTTTTTAGCCAACTTTACAAATACTAATTACAAATTACTTAGTATTAGTAATTAATCTGCTCCTACAAGCTATATAGTGAGTAGGGGCATGTGTAGTAAACAGTGAGCAGCCACAGGCTGCTCACTGTTGTAAGAAAAAATTAAAGAAAATCCTCCCCCACCCCACTTTTATAAATGGCCGCATGGTGGGGCAACTTTTAACTAGCAAGCCCCCATCCGTGCCTCGTGAGTGGGACTATTTAATTAAACAAGGGACATAGGTTCCCCCTGGCCCACACCCATGAGCGGCGGGTATATATTATTTGCAAAGGAAAGATTTTATACAGGTTGTCAATCATATCTAGAGTATAAATGAGAGTGAGTGCTTTATGGACTAGATTTTATTCTGCAAAAAAAATGAAAATGAAAATGTTTATTATTACTTTAAGGGACACAATAAGCACCCAGATTACATTATCTCAGTGGTCTGGATGCAGTGTCCCTGTCCCACATAGTCCTGCAATGTAAATCATTGTAGTGTTTGAGAAACTGCAATAATTACATTGCAGTACTAAGACTGACTCTAGTGGCTGTCAATCAGACAGCCATTAGAGGCACTTCTTGGAGTTTTGCCCTGGTTGCGCTTCCTGGTTGCTAACCATCTTTTGGTCTCCAAACTGAAGCAGGACGTCCACACTCTCCGCATGGGGACATCCAGTGTCATTAAAATCCCCATTGGAAAGCATTAAAGCAATGCTTTTCAATGGGGAGTGCCTAATGCCCTCTCAGCACTCACTGTGCATGTTATTTACCTCCCAGTCGGCTGACGTCTGAGGAGGTGGAGCACCGATCTAGCACAGAGGGACATCGGCACTGGAATCGCGTAAATAATTAACATTTTTTTTTAACCCTCCAGCTGCCAAGGTGAGGGGATAAAAAACAGATTTGTATTCCTAACACTATAGAATCCCTATAAGGTAGTATACTGGTTAAGCTAACGTTGTTTTGGTGCTGAGTATCCCTTTAAGGATTTCTTTTTTTCAGGGGAGGTTACTTTTTTCATGTGAGCCAGAATTAGAACCCTACATTAGCTATTGTTAAGTCTGCAATGTACAATGCCATTTTAACTCCTTAACGACCTAGGACGGTGCACTACCGTCATCGGCATTTTAGCGTTAACGACCGGTGACGGTCCTGAACCATCCTAACGGTAAGCTGTACTTGCCTGATTGCCGTCGTTCCCCCGGTGTGGGGAGACTGCCTGCAGCCCAGACAGTCTCCCCATGGCGAATTAGGACCCCTGTGGCCATGTGATCGCTCAACAGAGCGGTCACATG